AAAAGAAATAAAAGGCATCCGAATTGGTAAGGAAGAAGTCAAACTTTCATTTTTTGCAGATGACATGTTATTCTACATGGAAAACCTGAAAGACTCCACCAAAAAACTGCTAGAACTGATACACGAATTCAGCAAAGTCTCAAGATATGAAACCAGTGTACAGAAATTGATTGAATTCCGACACACCAACAGTGCAGCAGCGGAAAGAGATATCAGGGAATTGATCTCATTTACAATTGCATCAAAAATCATAGGGTACCTAGGAATAAACCTAATCAGAGAGGTAAAAGATCTGTATGCTGAAAACCATAGAAAGCTTAAGAAGACACAAAGAAATGGGAAAATATTCCATGTTCACGGATAGAAAGAACAAATATTGTTAAAATGTCGATACTATCCAAAGCAATCTACACATTCAATGAAATCCCTATCAAAATAACACCAGCATTCTTCACAGGGCTAGAACAGACAAACCTAAAATTTGTATGGAACCAGAAAAGACCCCAAATAGACAAAATAATGTTGAAAAAGAAAACCAAAGCTGGAGGCATCACAGTTCTGGACTTCAAGCTTGTAGTCATCAAGACAGTATGGTACTGGCACAAGAACAGACACATAGATCGATGTTTTATTTTATTTGAGAGAGAGACAGGAAAAGAGAGAGAGAGAGCGCTAGTGGGGGAGAGGGACAGAAGGAGGGAGAGAATCTTAAGCAGGCTTAGCATGGAGCCTGACACAGGGCTTGAGTCCATGACCCTGGGATCATGACCTGAGCCAAAATCAAGAATCGGTCACTCAACCAACTGAGCCACCCAGGTGCTCCTGAGAAAAGGATCTTTGTAGATATAATTAAGTTAAGGATCTTAGGGTGAGATCATCCTGGATTATCTGAGTGAACACCAAATCCAATGACTAGTGTCTTTATAAGATATACAGGAAGGAATGAAGGAGAACAGAAACACAGAGGGAGAGGTGGTGGTACCATGGAGGCAGAGATTACAGGGATTTGGTCCTGAGCCACGGAGGGAAGAAATGCTGATTGCTACCTGAAGCTGGAAGAAGAGAGGAGAGATTTTCCTCTAGAACCTCCAGATGCAGCCCTGACAACACTTTTACTTCGGACTTCTGACTTCCAGAACCGTGAGAAAATAAATTTATGTCATTTTAAGCTACCAAGTTTGTAGTTATTTGTCACAGTGGCTCTACTCTAGGAAACAGGTGTCATTCCCTACCGCTATGAAACGTGTAACTCCAACACTTAGTGACGTAACAAAACATTTACTATCTTGTATCTTCTGTAGTCAGGAATCCAGGTGATGCTAGCTGGGTCCTCTCTCTCTGGGTTTCTCACAAGGTTGTAATCAGGTCGGTTGAAACTGCAACGCCTTCTGAAATTCTGACAGGGAAGCACATGCTTCTCAACTCACTACCCAGCCTGTGCATCAAGGGAGAGGGTTGCATAAGGCAGGTCGTTGACAAAATAGGGAGTCATCTTTTAAAGTCTGCTAGTTGGCCCCCAATCACTCACATTCCTTCTACGTGCAAAATACATTTCCCCGGACCAAGGTTCCCAAGAGTTTCACCCCATGGCAACATCCTCATATTTTAGGACCTTCCATATTTAATATGGCTGGATCATGGAAATAAAAATTAATAACTTTGTACAGACACTTGATCATGTATTTGGTAAAATAATAAAAGGGAGAAAAAGAAGTTTAAAAAGTATTAACGTGAAGCAAGTACAGTTTTTCACAATTTCAGGAATTTAAAGCTTACAAATCTGTTCAAGTCTGCTTTACCCAAAATAACAGCAAATGCCCCGAGAGAGCTGGTTTAGGCCTTGCTGGAACCGAACCCAGTAAACCGTAGCCTCTGCCATTCCTTCCTTTCCAATGTGTGAGCATAAAAGTTAAGTAGAATGAATGGGCTTCTGTGCGAGCACAGATTTAAGGCAGGTCCCTGAAGCATCTTCTACTGTATACCATTTGCTAAATGCACTGTAAATATTTTGGAGTCACCTTGAATAGCGCTAAATTGAAATAGAAAGTGTTTGCCTACATATTTTGAACTATTATATTCAATGACCTTCTGAAACAAATATTGCTTTCAGACAGCAAACACAATGGAATTTCCACATAAAGCAGGTATGAACGTCTTCCCATTTAACAATTATTACTGCTGGAAATCAGTAACCAAAGAATTAGCAAGTGGTTAGCACAGTGCTGTAATAATTCCAGTAGAGAGTTTTGTGTGTGTTTGTTTCTTTCCTCTAAACTTCTCCTACATATATTCTCCAGGTAGTCCAATTACTGAAATATGATTCATTATTAAAAAGTTTCTATAATGAGATTTTAATACTTCTCTTTTTTCCTTCTAATCATTTTGAGGACGTATATTTTTATATCCTTTCAGTAGCATGATTTTTGCTTTTACATTTTAACGTAACATTTTATATGCATTTTCCAGTTGGTCTTTTTTTTTTTTTCAACTTTATGCTTATGCAGCCTAATCTCCCGAATGAAACTCCCTGAGGTAATCTATCTCCGTGTTTACCTTTCTGCGTCTATTAATAGCAGGTAAACTATCCAGAATTTCACTTACATAAGCTCACACACGCTTGAAGTATTTGCAGAGACAGAAACAAAATACTTCTACATCCTTCTGCAAGGGACTATTTCTATCTTTCCTAGAATAAAAAATTAAGAGAATTAGAATGATCCAACTAGGCTACACAAAGCTTTTCGAGCTCCTCTCAATCTGTACCATTTCTTTCTTCATAGGAACCAACGAGATCAGTTGTATCATCAGGGCAGCCATTGTGTTTCACGGAAGTCAACCTAACATTCACATATGATTGTTATGCCTGGTGACCTTCCTGCATGTATGTTGCATTACAGATACACGAGAGTTCATTGCGATGTTAGTACTTTTGCACGAGTACTGACTACAAGATCAAAAGGACACACAGTAATCACAAGGATGTGTAAGAACAACTAGACTACCACAGCGACATTACCATACTAGACACGTGGACCTCTCAGCATAGGGTAAGAAAGTCACCTGTCATGGCAAGTACTTCTCAAGAGGGTGAAAAACAAGCAGCAAAATCTGGTTTGTTCTTCTCTATGCCAACAGAGAACAGACACATTTGCATCTTCCCTTTCTTTTCATATGCTCCTCTTCTGGGTCACAGCAGGCTAACTAAACTTAACATTCCAAAGAATCAGTTTTCTTGAGAATGTTCCTAGGATTTGGGGTCATTGCAAATTTGGATCTAGGAAGAGAAACACTTTGGATTTAAAATTTAACATTCTGTTCTTTCAAAAATACTTTGTTCTCATAAACGTAGGATCTTGGCTCATTTTTAGGCACTCCAATGACTGCGTGTAATGAAGTACAAAGTCTGTACTTCATAGCACTTTATCCCTAAAAACATTCCTAAAAAAAAAACAATGTAAGAGAGGAGGAGAGGCATAATCCTTAGAGAAGCACTGCATTTTTTTTTTTGCCAGTCTGAAATCTCTTGTCATCTTCTGCAATTTAGATATGATGAAATCAACAGATTGGCAAAGACAGGGTGTTGTGGGGGGGGGGGGGTCACCCCTGCCCCAACCCAGTAATCCCCGAAAAAGGCTCCCCGGCGGAGTGTTTCCCCAGGTAAGGGTTGGGTTTTTTTTCCCCCTTTCGCACCCCAAAAAAAAAAAAAAAAAAAAAAAAAAGAAAAAAACAAAATCCTCTCCTTTCATTAACACCACAATGAGACCTCATTTTCACACATACCAAGTAACCAAAATTTCAAAAGACAGAATGACATGGAGTGCTGAGGTGATCTGTAGAAAGAGACCTGAAACCACAGAGTGAAAGGGCGAAGTGGACAGCCATCTGAAAACCATTTGGCACTGCAAGGAAAGGCTGAACACCCAAGTGTCTCATCCCTATCCGTGTCCCTCCCAGATAATCCCTTCAACGTGCCCCCAGGAGACACGTGCATGGCCACGCTCCTGCCTAGATTTGAAAGCAAAATCTCTGCAAAGATACTTGGGTCTGCAGGGTCACTTGTGTGAGGAGAGTTTTGTATGTCCGTGAGTTTGAGAAAGGGTTACATATTTCTGCTTGACCATTTACATGGTTGGCCTCTGAATCTTCCTTCGGACTAACACGGCGTAGAGGAGTTGTGTTCCGAGGAGCATAGGAAGACAAAAGTTTGGATGATAACTGGTATTGGTTTTGCAACAGAATAATCTTGCATCAGATCGAATAATCTTTAATGACCTGCATCAGTACTCAATAAAGTGACGTTTATAGTTTTGCATGTTTTGATAGACAATCCTGCTAGAAGTAAGGGGGGGGGGGGACGATCGATTAGGTCATGAAAGAATAGTGATGAGAAGATAGAGATCAGGAAGAGATCAGAATGGGGGAAGAAAAGTTGGAATAGAAAAACAGAGAAAGAGGTGGAGAAGCCATTCTTGGTAATATAGACACAGCACTAACGGGGGAGTTTGCTGGATCCCGGAATGCATCGTCTGACCATTTCTGTGCCAGAATTGTCCCAGGAGGGACCTTCAGTCTCCATGCTGAGTCTTGCACCCTCCCCTTCAAACAGTTCCAGCTGCGATTATAAAATCACTAAAGGAAACTCAATAATGCTGTCTCGAAATTCAGCACGGCTTTAGTTCAGAATACTTTTACTTACATATACAAGTGTTTAGTGATTGAATGCTAAATATTTTCACTTACTTAACTCACGTTGATGTTTATGGTGTTTGGGAATGAAAACTTGAATGTGACGGTATTCTTGAACTGATATATTGGGCTAAAACTCTCAAGATAAAGTGATTTTCTTCAAATAAGTATCGCAGAATAGCTTTCAGGAGGGATATAACGTGGCTCACTCTTAGATAAACACCAAGGAGTTGCTGTAAAGTTACATATATACTGGAGAAATTTACCACAGTTGAGAAACTCTATGGCCAGATATTCCTCGAATTGCTACTTACATTGTGCTTTGTGAGGTTTGAAATATTGGTTGCTATTGCTTGTAGCCAGTCAATACAGTCTTCCGCAGAGAGGCACTGAATAATCCCACTGCAGACCCCGTCCACAGCAATGACTTGAAAAGCATTTTGCCTGCAGACATATCAGAACAAATCAGATCAAAACATCGTCTCATTTATCTGTTTGCAACTCGAAATAGAATCTGTGGAAAGGTCTTCTCTTCCACAATACAAATAGAGCTTCAAATCCGTATTTGCGTATTTCTCTTTATAAATATCTCTGAGTTTAAATGGAGCACCAAGTATGAACCCAGATGACATATTTTGAATTAGTAGAAAGTTATCTTGAGATTCAGACGCATTGAGAAAAAAACTTGAGTCGTAAAATGGATGTTATATAAATGGAAGCATAGCTAAGACATGTCAGAAGGATTCTTTTCCCAGTTTACCATAAAAATATACATGGACGTTTATCTATTTGGCTGACAGCCTCTCCTCTTCACATCTTTCAATGCATTTCCTGATTTACAATGGAAAGATCAAAAAAAAAAAAAAAAAAGACAGACAGATATGAAACACCATATATAAAAATCACCTGACGTCACGAGCTGCAGAATTTTGCTAGGTTGTAAATCATGTTCAGTCTCTGTTTTTTCTTCTCAAAGATGATTTGGACAAGATGTTCATAGCTTCACCTCAGGTGTACATTTTCTCTGAATTTATGTGCATGTCATGCATTTTGATAACAACCAAACTTTTCTTTAAAATCCAAAGGCCAGTATAAATATCCTTAGGGCTTTTTTGTTGATGCGTTGTCATTGCTGTTGTTAGAGGAAATTAAATGATGCCATCCTAAATTGTTCACCAAAGTCCTATAGAGTTCAGAGTGGTTCCCTACAGCTTAAATGATTGTTTTTCTCTGTATCAAGTCCTTGCATATTTAGATATGAGCTTAATGGACAGGAGTTGATAAAAATTTCAAAATGAATGGAAGCTAGCCAAATGGCTTGGGCTTGAGAATTAGTGTGTGGTGCAACATGATACCCTTTGGGAAATGCACAAACTAGATTTAAACCCCAGCCAATTATGAAGCAATAGAAAAGGTCTGTAGTTCAGCATTCAAAGGCCTTGTAAATTGTATAAATGCATATCTTTTTCGCTTAATAAGTACCTTTTCTGTTTTCTGCGTTTTGTAACTAGGCGTCTGTGGGTGGTAGGCAGGATCGACTTTCCTAAACAAAGAAAGGACACTTCACAGAGCATAGATCCGGCTCAATTCAGTACCTGTGTCACCTTTTCTTCCCATGACACCAGTCCGTATCTCGGAACTGGGCGCAAACGAAAGCTTTCACTTCTAAGGCACTCTGCATCCAAATCACTGACATTTTTAGAGAAATCTGCTCTGATACCCTTGACCAAGCACTTGCAACTGGAACAGGGAAGGGTTCAAGTATGCTTTTTTTTTGTTTTCTTTTCTCTTAAAAATACATGAAAAGACTTCAGAAAGTACAACTATTGTCTGCCTCTTTGAAGTAATGTTCTTTTGAATTTGTGACAAGAAAAAATATGCACAGCATGAACAGCATATTATAACTTCAGGTCTTTCTTAGCTTTAATTTTGATATTCTGCAGTGAAGAAGACATTTAAAATATCTAGAAAGCTCAACCATCCATGGAAAATGGGAACTAATTTGCGTTTAGAAATATATGTTTCTTTCGGCTCTCTGATTATCATAACCATTGCTTGATTAAAAGCAATGCTAACCATTGCTATGGAGCAATGCTAACCGATCATAACCATTGCTTTGATTAAAAATTAAAGCATGTCCTGAACATATTTGTCCTCTCTGCTTTAAATGAATCATGGCGGCTTTTGATATTTTTAGCTGATTAAAGTTAATACACTTCGATCAAATCTGCCATTTCTGTAATCATATGTTACATAGTCCCTAGAAAGAATAGTTCTGAGGGCCTAATCTTTTATAAATCCAGGCTTATATGTTAACATATGTGTCACGTTTTACGTTCTGTTTCAACTTTTCAGAGTGATTTGATGGAAACCCTTTCATGGATTTAAGTGAAGTACTTGAATAGTTTCTTTGCTTATGTATGACCTCTTCCAAAATAGGCTGATCATAAAATTATAGTCTGGGTCATATTTCTGCCCGTTATTGAAATAATGAGAGTATTGACAAATTAGTTCACTTAGTTGTGATACAATTTCCTCTAGAAGAAAATGAGAATCATGTACTTTACAGATTTAGCAAGTATTTATGGAGTAACTGGTGAGATCCAGATAACTTTCATATATCACTGAAGCTCCGTGAATAATTTTCCTGTGAATAATCCACTAATATGTGGTCCCGACTGCAATATTTGAGAATGTTTAGTGGACTTAACATCAAGCACTTAGGAAGAACTGTAGTGCTTTTGCCTTTTATTTTTAGCTTTTAGAAAATGCATTTCTTTGACTAGAGATCATCAGGAGGAAAAAAGCTTTTTTGCTTCATCTTATTTGATGGTATACATTTTGAAATCAATAGACTGCATTGACCGCTTATTTGGTATTGTGAGTCATTAAACTTGAACAGTATTTGTAGCAGTCTTGAGGATACCCGGACAGAATCATGATTCTTAGTATACGCACATGCATGCACAACACACACGTGCTGAAAAACCAGGTACAATATTAGGGTTAGATAACCTGAAGTTTCAAATTCAGATTAACTTTCCGCTCTCTGCTCAACATTTTTATATTTTTCCAAGGATTCTGGGTCATTGCGCTGGCAATGAAAATTATTCTCAAACTTTGCTGAATTTCAATGCGTTTTTTAAAAATACAAGCTTAGTTTCCCTTTGTGTGAACGATATTCTGCTGACTACAAAGTTCGTACATAATTTTCAATATAACTTATGTGCATATAAATTTACACACATGTCGGATTAACACTGTTAATAGTTCACATTTTGACACACTGGTGACTCTACCTCCTGCAGGCATATGTAGGAAGACGTTAAATTCGTGAGGAGGGAACAGGAGAAAACAGAAGGCACTTCAAAGCACAAAGACTGAGAACCACAGACACCGAAATACAGCAGTGTGGAGTGGCTGGATAGCCACATCCATGAGGAAGACGGCGGATCAGCATGGAAAAGCAGGCAGGTTCAGAACAGGAGGGTTAGGTATGCAGGGCAGGGGGCTCAGAGTTCCCAGAGGGCAACTATCCGACTTTCTATCGAGGGCTACCAGTATTAAGACTGCTAAAGAGGGATATGATATGGAACTGAAATAAAGTGCTCATCAGAGTGAAAAAGAAAGCAATTAGCTCAAGGGCTTTATAAAGGCATTAGAAAGACTGTGTCACTTTTTAAAAAATGGAATTTGAGGAAGAGAGAATCAAAATTACTTCAGAGTTTGGGATCTCACTGGTCGAAGGGTTTCGATGCACAAGAGAAGGGAAAGCATTCAGATAGGAGACAGTTCATCCAAAAGCAAATAGGGACATGTTGAGAGAAACGTGGGCTGTTGGTTTGGACGACGTGCATATGGAGAAGCGACAGGTCACGTAGTTGGCCGTAAAGTAAAGCCTGATCATTAAGAGCTTTGCAAAGCATTTCTACCTAATCCTGAAAAGTCAGGGGGAGCCAATGGAAACATTCAAGGATTGGAAGGAAAGCTCCTGTTTGTATAGATCTCTCTGTGGTGGTTAAGAAGATGGGAAAAGATGATAATAAAGCCAAGAGGGATGTAGGAGGGCATTGCAATACTCAGGGTGAACAATGATACAAATCTGTTTCCAGAGAGTGGTTTTCTGTATACCAGGAGAGAACATTGACTCAGACCGTGTTGAAAAGAGGCCATTTACTTGATTGGGTACTTAATTATTTGGGGGGGGGGGTGGTAAAGGAAAGGAAAAAAACAATTAAAAGCACTTAAGTTAGTGATTACATCAATTTGTTCTATTTCTTGTTGAGTTCAATTCACATTCACCAAGTTCAGGATTATTTCTGCTCTGGGCATGCTACCTTGGTTGAATGCCTCATCAGAGCTTTTATTGTTCAGGTTCAAAACCTTAACTTTTGGGGGAAATACATGAGGAACTCTCCCAAACCATTTTGTTACCTATTTTCCAAGGTTTAAATAGCCAATTCGTTTCATGATTTGAAACACAATAACTCATCATTACCTAAACAAGCCCTGCAATTTTATGCAACTATGTCGCCCCCTCCCCAGTATCCCTCTTGTCTAAAAAACTCTTTTGTTGTCTCGCTCCATTTATTACCTGCAAAGTTATTGCAAATCACTTAATTCTATGTAACTTTCTGACCTCTAATTTCTCTATGTGTAAAATAAAGATAGCAACATTTGTCCCTCATCTCTTGCATTTTTAAGACTTTTTTAAAGAGCAGTTTTAGGTTCACAGCCAAACTTAGGGGAAAGTACAGAGATTTCCCATATATTCCCTGCCCAATATCAACATCCCTCAACTAGATGCTACATTTGCTACAGTTGATGAACCTCGAGTGACACATCGTTAGTACCCAAAGTCCATATTTTACATTAGGGTTCACTCTTGGATCTGCATTCTGTGTGTTTGGACAAAGGTATGATGGCATGTATCCATTCATAATAACATCATACAGAGTATTTTCACTGCATTAAATATCCTCTCTGCTCAGCTTCTTAATTTCTTCCCCCATCTGCCTCTCACACCCCTACCCCAGCAACCGTTAGTCTTTTTACTGTCTCCATAGTTTTACCTTTTCTAGAATGTCTGTCATATGGTTGGAATCAAACAGCATGTAGGCATTTCAGATTGACTATTTCATTTGGTAATATGCATTTATGGCACTCTCATGTCTTTTCGTGACTTGATAGTCCATTTCCTTTTAGTTCTGAATAATATTCCATTATCAGGAATATATAGCTTATATATCCATCCACCTGAAGGATATCTTACTTCCAAGTTTTGGAATTATGAATAAATCTTCTATAAACACCTGTGTGCAGGTTTTTGTATGGACATAAGTTTTGTCTCCAAGAAATATGGAGGAGAGATATGGATATGAAATATCCAAGTACCAAGAAATATGATTATTGGATCGCATGGTAAGAGTTATGTTTAGTTTTCT